GGATAATAGAAATTCTGTCCCTTTCGTTCACCCATTTTTGGCGCTTACTGAAAAATTTACAAGAGTTTTACACTGGAGCCGATAATATGGAACAAATGCACTCATAGTTTTCTCCCAAAAATATATGAAATGTCAAAACGAGTTCCGGGAAATCTCCAAATGGGCATGAAAGTCCATGAAAACTCTTCTGTAACACAAAATCTCTAGCTAAATGAAGTGGCTGCGCGAGCAGCTGACATCGTCAAAATACTTCCAATTCGTAAAAATCCAACAACTGCGCAGATGGTAATTCATCAGAGCAAGAATCCAGTACGAATTTTCTCCCCAACTAAAAACTGATGCTTAATCGCTAGATATAACATAAATGAAACCCTTTTATCAAATTTTAAGCAGATTTCTGATATCAAATAGACACTGATCTGACCACTAATTTTTAATTTTTATGCTTCTGCTACGAAATTCTGCAACCCTCTTGCCTAGTCTATGCCTCTTGCATTCAACTTCCCACATTTTTATGAGTTTTTTTGCAACTATGCAATGCAGGAAACGCATATTGACGAGAGGTTGTCTCTTTGTTTGTGCGTATATGCGTCTGTACCGATTTTTCATCTCAAGACCTGCAAAAGCTTCTGGACTGAAACTTTGGGAAGTTAATCTACATGCACGTACGAGCCCCATCCCCAAAATGGGGCCTCTTGCCCGCGTGTTACCCACGTGCGGGCCCGTGAAAGTTTTTTTCGGGTAAGTTGCTAATTCGAGAGCCAGGAAAGCCAGAAAGCTGAAATTTTAAGGATGTGTTTCCTGAGAGCCCTGGCGGCCAGTCTTAATTTGTCTAGCTAGAAGCATCTGCCGGGGAAACCAGTGCCAGTAGCGACAAAAACTGCGAGGAACTGTGCAAAAAACGCATCTTCGCACCGGCAGCAGGTGCGTTAGCCAATTATTTAACCGGCGAAAATTTCTCGTATCATTCGAGTGCAGCACTATGTCCATCCCACTCCTCTATTCCCCCGTCGTCTCTCCTCTTCTTATTGCCTACAATTTTCGAAAAGGAAATATTCAATATGGAAGTAAAACCATTGGCAATCGTCTACCAATCCAATCCAGAAAAAAACGCAGCTCAAAGTTTATTCGCGACAAATTTGAAAAAAA